GACCTCGGCCCTCTGGGCTGCTGGGGTGACTACTTACCTCCAGGCCAGGACCGGGGCCTGGGTCCGAGCGGAACCGCCCAGTTGACTGGCCGGGCTAGCCGGGCCGCCTGCGCTCTGTCTTGGTGACGTCGGTTGGCGGCGGCGTCCGGGGCCTCCTGGGAGCTGTAGTTCGGCGCTGAGGACTTACCTAGGCTCCAGCTCATCCTGGCTGTACCCCAGCTTGTGGGCATCCCCCCACAGGGCTCCCGAAATAACCCCGGCATGTGAGTCTGTCTTCTGCTGGGAATAAAATGGGACACCTGGGAGCAAAATGCTAGGTAGCAGGAAGGTGTAAAGCACACAGATCAGACTCTACCCTACTCTGAGGTCCATCCCTCTGTAGCCCTGGACTGGGGACCCAGCCTGCCCAGTTCAAACCCCAGTTTGGCCCTTTAATATATCAGAGGCAGCGTAACGAGCTGCTTAGTGCTTTAATTTTGATATTGGTGGGAATGTACAGTTTTACATTTAGGGTTATGTGGGATACAATGAATTGACATACAGAAAGTGCCTAGAACCGGTCCAGGCGTGGAAGTCCTGTCTCTCAAGTGTCAGGTACTACTATTCATGTCTGTGTGTAGTGAGTGGAAGTCACATGACTGACTTTTCTGTGCCAGTGGAGACCAGGTGGTAAATTCCAAGTGGACTGTCCACCACCTGGAGGATCTTTGTCTTTCTGAACCATTTGGTGTGGTCAGCTGTTATCACAGAGCCTGGAGGGTGGGGGCGCCTGTGGAAGCCCCAGGGAAGCTGGAGCTGGAGAGGTGTGAACAGCCTAGCTGGAATCTGGGATTGAGGGGGGCTGGGTGTAGTGGCCAGGAACTCAGGAGGGAGTTAGGAAGTACTGGAAGGTTTTGACCATGGGCTCTGCTCCTTAGAACGCTCTGGCTGTACTGATTGGCAGCAAGGAGGATGATGGGACCAAAAGCAGACAGCCCAGTGACAGAACAATTCCTTTATCCAAGCAGGAGGTGAGGGAATACACCTCTTTCTCATCTCTCTTCTCCTTTTCCTTTTTCTCCTTTTCTTCCTTCTTCTATCTCTCCTCCCTCCTTCCTTTCTTCCCCTTAATGGATTTTCATTACACTAGTTACAGATTTTTCCAAATATTTTTTTTAAAAGAAAAGTGAGCTGGACTTAACAATGTATGACCATGGGCTGGCGAGATGGCTCAGTGATCTAAAGCACCTACTTAGAACAAGCTTAGCAAAGCACAGGGACCACGGTTCAATCCCTGGTGGGCTGAGCTGGCCACACACACACACATAAATAAATAAATAAAAGTTAAAAAAAGAAAATTGTTAAACAATGTATGACCATAATCCTAGCACTCTGGGAAACACAGGCAGGAAGATCACTATCCAAGCCTGGGCAATTTAGCAATTTAAGTAAACCCTGCCTCAAAACAGAAAGATAAAAAGGGCTGGGCATGTAGCTCGGTGAGAAGGTCCTAAATTCAATCTCAGTGCCAAGAAGTAGGAACACCCTTGTAGACCACCTTTAAACTCCAAGGTAGGAGCGTCGTCCTTGTGGCTGGCCTGCCTGAGGACCTGAAGGAAGGTCTGCTAAGATCTTGGGAAAGGAATTTCTGAATTCCTGGGTTTCGGCCTTGTGGGTGGGCACCCACCACCACCATACACACACACCGTTCCTAACTTCTCTTCCAACTTCCTGGCACAGCGACAGCTGGAGGAAGGAGGAGAAGGGCGCTCCGGGAAGGGCCGTCCCCCCGCCGTCCTCCTCCGCGCCGGGAGCTGAGGACTCGGAGTGCTTGATCCGCGCCAGAACTCTGCGCTCACGTGTCCGCGGCGTGGGCAGGAGCTGCAGACGGCGGCTGCCAGGAGGCTGAAGGCTCGTCTGGTACCCGCCTCACCCGGTTTGACCCGACGTGAACTCCGCTTCTCTCCGCCTCAGCTCGCTGCTGCCCCCGACGGCGGAGACCAGCCATGCGCTGCACAAGCTTTTTTTTTTTTTTTAAACTGCTCATAGGGACTTAGCGGTGGTCAGGCATTCTGCCAAGCCCTTTATATATATTGATTTCACCACTGTCTGAGGTAGGTGCTATTTTTCTCTTCATTTTACAGATGCAAGAACGGAAGCCTAAGCCAGGATGGTGGCTCATGTCTGTAATGTCAACACTCACAGGCTAATATAGGAATATCACAAACTGCAACTGGGTCAATTTAGCAACTTAGCCAGACCATTTCAAAATAAACGAAAAAAGGGCTCAATAAAGCGATGGAAAGAAGGAAGGGAGGAAGGAAGGAAGGACTAACATAGATGATTACACTTTATCCTAGAGCTAGAAGGAGATCGGGGATATAGCTCAGTGGCACAGTGCCTGCCTGGCAAGTACAAGGTCCTGAGTTTGATTCCTGGTACAAAAAGGAAAAAAAAAAAAAAACACCAAAACACTAGAGTTAGTGAAATGGGATGTTTTTGCCCATTGTGGTGGTACACATTTGTAATCCCAGCTACGTGGGAAGCTGACTCAGAGGATTACAATTGCCAGCCTGGGCTATTTATTTATTTATTTATTTATTTTGCGGAACCGGGGATTGAACTCAGACTCTTGTGCTTGCCAGGGAAGCACATGTTCTACTGAGCCATCTCCCTGGCCCCAGCCTGGGCAATTTAAGGAGACCCTATTTCAAAATAAAAATATAAAGGGCTGGAGATGTAGGTCAGTGATGGAGCTTGGCTCATATATGTGAGGCCTGAGGTTCAGCAAAACACACACACACACACACACACACACACACACACACGGGGGTGTTTTTTTTTTTTTTTTTCCTGTGGTGTGCTATTAAAGGGTAAAGATTTATATGCTCTGAAGAGAAACCAGAGTGTGGTGTGCTATTAAAGAGCAGAGTGACACAATCACACTTTTGGGAGGGGGGCAGGGGGACAGTAGAGACCAAACCCAAAGCTTCATGCGTGCCCGGCAAGTGCTATACCACTGAACCTTGAGGTTGGGAGACAAGACCAGCGCGGAGGCTGCTGCAGTTGTTGAGGTCAGGAATGATGATGGCTTGGCCCACCATAGTGGTCTGCGTAGATGATGAGAGCAAAAGCAGCACAGGCCAGGTGCCTTGAGGAGCTGCACACCCCTCTTTTTTTTTTTTTTGACAAACTAGGGATTGAATCCAGGTTCCTCACTCTGACCTACATCACCTGCTACTTTTATTTTGAAATAAGACCTTGCTAGAGTGCCCAGGCTGGGCTCAGACTTATAATCTGCTCTTCCTGCCTCAGCCTCTTGAGCACTGGTATTAAAGGTATGCCCCACTGTGCCTGGCTAGGAGCCATCCCTAAAATGGGAAGCACTGGAAGAGATAGAAATTTGAGAGGATGGGGAGATAGTTCAGTAGAAAAAGAGCTTGCCTGGTAAGCACAGAGTCCTGAGTTCAAACCCCAGTACTGCGAAAAAGAAAAAAAAGGAATTTGGGTGAGGGGGGCTGGAGAGATAGCTCTGAGGTCTAAGCACCAGCCTGACAAGTGCCAGGACCTGAGTTCGATCCCCTGTGCCACATGCCATGCAGAACCCCAGGTGCATCACTGAAACTGGGCCTGGTGGTGCATACCTGTAGTCCCAGCTCTGGGGAGGCTAAGACAGGAGGATCACTACAAGTCTAAGGTGCATAGTGAGACCCTGTTCCAATATATCCTAGAGCTAGAAGGAGATAATATATAATAATTTTTTAAATTACTAAATTTGGGGCCAAGGAGTTGGTTCAGTAGAATAAGCGCTTGCCTGGCAAGTGTAAGGGCCTGAGTTCAATCCCCAGTTCTGGGG